CAGCTGGTCTCTAGGTATGTAAAATGTTAGATTAAGAAATGTTGAGATAGAATTACCGAGAGTTAGACAGAAACCTAAAACATGATCGAGTCAGTCTATTTTAAACTAGAAACTATAATAAACTATGTTCATCAAGAGAATTATTGGCACTTGTCCCAAGGGTGGGAGGGTATCATTTTAACATCATTAACTCACTGCAATATATATAACTTCTTTCTGGCCACGATAAAAATAAAGAATTTAATGTTTTTGCGAGTACTTTACTGTATTTGCAATGGTTTATTTTATGCTGTTGACGTGCACAGATTGCTGGTGTCAAATCCATCATCAAAGTAGTTGATTAGAAAATGGAATGAATTTGAGAGTATCACGACTTGTTCCTTAGTTTCTGTCATCCAGTCCTTCTTTGTCTACGTACAGCTTTGGTGAAAGACAGGAAGTGTCAGAGACTATGAGTTCCTATGCTCACTGATAAAGTCATTATATCAAAACAAAGCCATGTCATGACAATATGTTTGTGTCATATACAAATCATCATGGATCCTCTTCTTATTTAACGATAGGCCAAAACATGATATGCACGTGCATCTGAAAGAGGATAGGCAATCGTTTAATTATGTATTCGTTTGACATTTCCAGTTCAGGTTTAATAATATGTAACAGTTACAAGTGAATCGAAAGCTTAAGATAAAGTCATATATCTTCTAGAAACCTGCTACAACTTTTCATTATGAAATACTTACTCACTTATAATTGATATACTTCCTCATATGAAGTACCAATGTTTCCCCAATATGTTGTTTAGATTGTGGATCTCGTTTTTCTATGGAGCCCCTTGGGCGCAATTTTCCATACTTTTATAAAAAATACTTTCGTTTTAACGAATTAGTTATTTCGCTATTACGAAATAACTTATTCCGTATTTTTCGGTTCAGATCGTTAGTATTTGATTTATTTATTTTCGTGATGACATGAAATAGAGCGGGTGATTGCCTCAATGTTTTTAAACATGATTTTCAGACTATCGTATTATAAATATTCCTAATAAATGTCGATGTTAAATCCAACACGCCCAGTGATATATGTCTTGTTACAGGGTGCATATCAAACCTTTATTCTAATCATTGGAACCTGTTTCACACGTGTACAACATTTGTTGGGATATCTTAAAACATTCAACAAACACATTTCCCAAATGTCAGTCAGTGGCGGCACCAGCCTCCCGAAACTGGGGGTACAAATAGAGATAGGATATGAACTCAATGTCGAGGTTCAGATTCAAAATACGGCGGCTCCGTGGAAACCCACAGCCACAATACTCTCGCGAAAAGTTTTAGAGGTTTCTGGAAAAAGTAGAATTGATTAGGTGCATTCTGACAAATATTTTGAGGTAAAACGTAACAATAATATTTTTCTGATTTGTTTGAAATGAAGTGGGGATAGAATCGGAGGTACAAACCCCAGCCCCCGCCTGAAAACCCCCGATTTAGACATTCGAGCTAAGATATCTAAGGTACAGATATTTCTGAAGGCAAAGAATAACAAAACCAGGCCTTGTAAATATAAACTTGAATCTTGTTATGACAGTGATATCTTTATGGTCAGAATGAAAACAAGAATATCTTTGATGTTATTATACGGAGCTGTCAATGAATGGAACAGCATCCATAGGGCGCAGTGGCGGCGCCAGTAGAAGTACATGGGGGGCATTTGCCCCCCTAGAAAAGTGATTTGCACCCCCAATTGTACCCCCACATTATTTTCAATAAATCTAAATGTCTATCTTTTTTCTCCAAAAATATGTGTCAGAATGCACAAAATCAATTCATTTTTTCTAAAATAATCTTGAGAGAACCGTCTAAGACACTCTATGAGAGGCTTGCGACAATAACACTACCACAGAGTAGCCAAAATTTGAATACAGCCTCAGCAGTTGTCCCCCATTGAGTCAGTCTGCTCCCTATTTGTACCCCCAGTCTCGGAAGGCTGGCGTCGCCACTGATAGGGCTATATTGCACGATGATATTTCAGATGATATTACTAGCCAGGTTTCTTCGTGTATTCCAGGTCGAGTAGAGAGTAAGAATGCTGCTGAAGCAGTAGCTGGAGTTTTATTAAAAGATTATGTAAATGATATTAGACCTTATACAGATGGCGCTGTCATCATTAAAGTTGGATTAACCATCACACAGATTTTAGACGTCGTAAGTATTCAGAGGTTTTATTTCTATTCTCCTATTTATTAGAATTCCAAGCATTGAGTTTCACATGATTTTATATTCGGAAACTGTCTTTTTTTGCTTTTTATGACGACATATTAAAGGGATTGTAAAGAGATTTCTAAACTTGTTCATATATCAAGGACACTGATAGCATTAATTTATACTATTCTGATATTCAATCAGACGTCTACAAAGTTAAGATAACCTCTTTACAATCCATGTAAATAATCACATAATCTTTTTTGTTTTCTTTCTCTTCACAGAATGAGAATAATAAACTCATCAAAGTAGACGGTAGATTATTAATGAATTGGCATGATTCTCGCCTTGCCTGGAATTCCAAACAATACAATGACACCACCTCTCTCAGACTTCCTGCTCATAAAGTCTGGCTTCCTGATATCACTCTGTATAACAGGTATGTTCAGGAAACACCACCTTCGTCAGTCCAATTTTATAACTTCGATCCATTAATGTAATAATTGAAGTAAACATATCTTCACAATGTCAAGGTATTACGAACGTTGAATTATACCTTGACTGCCATAGCCTTCTTGTATCACGGAATGCAGCGATATTGAATTGGATGGATTGTACGCTAGCGATAACAGCCAATCAGAGCCCTGGTCAGGAAGGCTGTAAACATTATGGCTTATTCTTTACAGACTTTCTGTCGAGAGCTCTGATTGACTGTATTCATTAGCGCACAATCCAATCAAATCGCTACATTAGATTTTCTAGTACTTCTGAAGACTATTTACATATATTCAAGACTCAAATCACCCCCCTAAAATGGCGCATCTGTCTCTTTAAACACTAAGCATTGGACATTAGTCTAGTATCTTTTTACTTTGTAGCGGATCAAGTATGGAACTACAGAAACTTCGTCTGGTAATTTATTCCAATGGAATGGTATCCTATATTCCTAAACTATCCATTGAAAGTCCGTGTGAACTGGATAAAGCCGCAGTCTTCATGGTCTGTAGCTTTAAAATGGGATCTTGGGCTTACGATGGATACAGTCTTGATATTCGAGACTATTTTGGTAAAGGCATCATAAGCTTGGAAGATTTCACACAGAATAGCGACTGGGAGATCGTGAATTCTACCATCAGACGTAATGAGAAGTATTATAAATGTTGTAGCGAGCCTTATCCAGATCTCACCTTCACTCTTACTATCAGACGTAAAGAAAGATGTCTGGATTGTTTGGTAGACGTGGATGTAGTACCGATCATACTAGTCGCTTTCTTGGTTCCAATACAGTTCCTCATTCCTATTGGCTCTCGTGAAAGAGCCACATTCAGTAAGTAATCTTATAATTTGATTTTGAATACTGGTATAAACACTTCTAGGATTTTCGAAATGCTTTTGACATAATTGGTTATCAAGAAACGGGGGTCAAATAAACTTTCAACCGACGTCTAATTTGTCGTACGAATCGTATAGCCTATAATAGTCAATAGACAATTAGTACGATCATTGTTAGAAGAATACATCAGTTGTATTTATGGTATATACTTTATACCATTTATCAATTTTATTTTAGTTCGAGCAGGGCAGCTTTAATATCTTATACAAAACATCTGCAAGTTAAAATACGATTTTTAAAAATAATTAAATTTACCATTAGGCTAAAACAAGATTCGATGAACCCAATTTATTATGATGTGTTTTTTGTAAGAGTGTGGTAGTTTTGGCAACTTACTTCAAATCTGCAGGTCTAAAGTTTAAAGTTGTCTGGAAACTTCACAATCTGTATCTATTTCAGCTGGATTGTTATTTGTTGGAGGAGTTTTGATTCATCTTAGTTTAGGACAGAGTCTGGCTATAGCTCAACGCGTCTGGCAAACTGATATTCGTAAGTTAATTTAATGATTGATATACAACTTCATATGAAATATTCATTAGCTGCTACCAATCTATTTTCAAACTGTTATTATCAGATTCCTAGCATTGTTTGACTGTTCAGATCGTTAGTACAGGCTTTCTGGGATGTTATGTGAACGTTAGCTTATCGTTTATAGTCAATCAGAGAGAATTCTTTGTTTTTTTCAAAAGGTTATAAATATGACATAGAGGATATAATAAAAGAAGAATCTCGAGCTTTACCGAAAAATCTTAAAAAATAGAAAATTTAATTTCACATTGTGCAAATGATGTAGTTCAGGTATTTTCAACCTGGGGGTGGCTTGTAATTATCCCAAGGGGGTAACTGTGAAATATTTCAGGTAATGAGACGCTCTGTAATCTAGCATACAATCTTTGAACAATTATAATTTAAGTGGTTCTATTCAGAAAATCAAGAATCGTCAGGTTATATATAAAATTGAGCCCAATTTGATTGGATGAAAAAGTCGGTCAGGTTCTAACTTTGTTTATCATATTTTACAGAGATCTACTACAACTCTACCCTGGCTCTGATAGTGGTATCTGTCATCATCTCTGTATTTAATATACAGCTCTGTAGCAATGACAGAAAGAGAAGCCCGCTACCAGCTTTGGTGAAGAAGGTCAGTTTAATTTATTTAATTTTTTTTTTTATTTTGTTTTGTTTAATTTGACTCCTGGCGAGGACATGTTATTTATTTCATTGTCTTATATAACTCTTTAACAATTAACTGATGTTACGATGTGTTTAGGTCAGATTACAGTACCTCGTCTTCAATTCATGTTTTGGAGTGTATTCGTCCAAACAGTTGCAACACCTCAATGTCGTGCACGCGAGATGATTCATGATAAGTCATATAACAAGGGAAGTAACTCCATTCTTGATTTCGTATTTTCAAGGTCTTCCTTGGTAATCTTATTTTTTGGAATTGCATTTTCGTGCTAAATGTTGCAACTCACCAGTGTCTATCAATCCAAAAGATCATGAAATCTTATTACAAGGGAAATAACTCTTGTTTCTGTATTTTCAGGTCTTCCTTAGTGGGTTCAACTATTTGGTATTGGTCAAATCACCCTGGACATCCGAGATACCCGATACAATGGACGTTAAGGAGATACCAACAGACGAACAACCCCACGACGAAGAATCTGCTGGCGTTCTTGAACGACAGGTGGCGCACCTCATTCGTCTTGTCCAATCACTGGTCTCGGCTTCCAATGGTCGTCTGCGGGATCGTGATATCGGTGCAAGGGAGGAATGGAGGGCTCTGTCGTTGGTCATTGATAGATTATGTGCTGTTTTATTTTTCATCATTTTTATTCTCTACACTGCCGATTTGATGGGATAAGTTGAGATAGATTTAGAAGGAGATGTAGGATTTATGAAATGAAAAGGTCTAGAAAAATGTTGTAATGATACCAACTGTTTTTGATAGAAAAGAAACAAAATTGATATATTTTTTCGATGAATTTTTTACATCTATTGTCAATTTTTGAATGTTACATTTCCCTAAGTATGTCCCATTCTGATCTAAGTCCACCTCCAGATATTTCGTTTGTTTGGTTTTTTTTTTGTTGGGTGGATTACTTAAACTGTTTTAAATGTGGCAATAACAATCAGTGGATCGCGTTACGCTTATTTGATTGGTCGAATTAGTGGACGCATCTTTGATGTAGATGTCGTAAGACTCGGAATGAGGGAAGTTATCCACATAAAATAAACGAAACGAAATATCTAGAGTTGATTTAGTTGAAATTTGTGCCAAAAACAACAACGACATCGAAATGTCACGAAAAATAATTTTTTTTATTTGTTGTGAAGTTGGAAGTCTGTTTATAGGTCCTGTTTGTTTTTTCATCATTTATTGTCGGTTTTTCCTAATAATTCTGTTTTTCGTTTCTGATTTTAAAATATTTATAATCTACTCGTTCTTTCATTTAGTTAACTTTCAGATTATTTTCTTTATTAACAAAAATCTATCGTGTTTTCGTGTTTTGTTTAGCAAGTCTTTCATCTGATTCAAATACAGGTTCCATATTTCGTTTTGTAAATTCTTAAGTTTAATATTGTACGGAATTAATTTCCCATTAGAAGACAAGAAACGAAACAAAACATGAGTCTTGTTTTGATTAGAGTGTAGAACTTAGTTTGTTTAATTTATAGTATTGTTTGTACAGGGGCGTAGACAACGGTTAGTCGTCCTGATTTAGAAACCGTGACGGTGAATTAGGACACCGAAAGCATGGCTAGTCCGTACGCCTGGAAAACGTCTAGCCTAAGCTTCTGTTTTATAGCCCAGTAAATTGTTCATATCATTATAATATAATATAGAGGTGTGTCCGTGTTTTTATAATATATTAATTTATTTAAGTGTATATGCTTATGTTTTCTTGTAGACTATGACTGCAGCCGAGACGTCAACGCAACGTTTTAATTTTCCTAGGTGTTGTATTGGAACTTTTTTCAGTTCGTCGCCTAGAATTATCCAACTTCTTGCCTACTATGCCACCCCACTGCTCCTTGTAGTAGTGATGAATTTGGTGTAATGTACATTTTGTAAGGCCCCAGTTCGATAACTTTGGCATGTTGATTGTACAGATCTTTTAAAATTGCTTCTTTATCTTTTTTAACATTTTTTCGTTTCATATCTAAATTTTGTAAGAGTCTGTAAAATAAAATCTGTCAAAAAATATCTCAGAATTATGTCCACTCAAGAGAAGTACAGAAAGAAATACTGACGATGATATGGTCAATCCAGACCACAAAAAACAACATCTCATAAAATTAGAGTGATCTCCCCTACTATAACACACGTATTGAAACTAATTAAAAGCTGTATTATATTCTCCAGTCTTCTTGTGGTATCTAGGTGGTAATAATAATAATGATAAAGTCTTTATTTTACACGGGCCATGGTCCAATACACACGGACATGGTCAATATAATGAATGAATGAAAAAAAAACACCGCTGGTCATAGATCAGTGCTGCGAGCTGGTTACCCTACCCTACTCCATTTCATGTTCTTATATTTCTATGGAGGGAGAGGTAGGATTTATCCTGCTCAAGACCAGCGTTAACGATGTTTGCTCATCCCCTGACTTTTCCAAATTGATTAAATTCGGGCCAAAATAGACTTTTCTCCAAATATTTCTCATCAATCCACCGAGTAGTCTATTATACCTGTACTTACCTCTTCCTTCTGTTATTATTCAAAGTTATTAATCAAATTAACAAACCTGTATTTTACTTCTCTGGTCATTAGGTCATTGTTCGAATAAACAAAAACAAATAAACTGATTCATTTCAATCTACTTGAACGGGGTCAGTATGACTCTATTGAGCGGAACTCATCTGAAATCGTATAATTGTACTATTCTGAATGGCAAAGACGGGCCAACCTCTTGTTTACCCTACCCCCAATACCCACCCCAACCCCACAGGAGAAACGTCACTGATGCCAATGCTGTCTGTTTTTTAGCAAGAAAAAAGTTTGAGTCAGCAGATTGAGCGAGTAAATAAGAGAGGGTCGTGACAGGAGAAATTACTGATGATGAAAGATTGAGTTGATCTGAGAGAACAATAGAATTTCCTCACGCAATCTTCAGATAATTTGGTGCGAACTACAAGTTTTCATTATTAATGTTAGGTAATTAACAGACCACATTAATTGTTAATTACGGTACGTGTGATTCGCCAGATTTATTTTATATCACAATCTATTGAGAGCCGAGATATTATCAAAAATATATTGGTTTTCGTTTGGAATATTCGTACCTTTTTTAAAATTCAGATGCGACGGATACTCCCTCACCAAAAAGGAGGGAGGGGGGGCTTCAAGTCTCATTTTTAATGACTCAGATTTACCTCACCAAAGGCGAATCCTAGAAAGGCATTGGGGTATATTTCACCAACCGACTGATTGTACAATCGGAATAAAGAGAGAGAAAATCTATCAAAAAACAATCAGAGTTTGAAACGATAAAATTCTCATTCATCATTCTACCGAGTAATAACCACATAGAGCAGCCCTTCCTTAAACTTTCTAAATATAGGGCTACTAAATACAATTCAGTGGTGGGTATGCCTTCCCCCTCCCAGCACGAGCAATTTCATTAAAATGATTGAAAAAAGAAACAAAATAAAATGATACGTCCGACTCTTCTTCGCAAATGTAGGCTACTGATAACTGGCAACCCGATGGAGTGTGCAACGAAGGACAATTACAGGCTAATAGCTTCACGGACAGGCAATCAAATTAAAATGAACAGGTTTTAAACAACAGCAATGAACTTTGCTACCCGTCAACTGGAAAGGTTTTTAGTAAATTACAATCTCGTTTTAAAGAATAAACTTATTCTAAACTCACGTCAAAGACCCCTTCATAGTATTACACTGTCCATTAGTTGATTAAACTTTATCTT